TTTTTTGTTTTTTATATTTTTTTTTTTTTTTTTTTTTTTTTTTTTTTTTTTTTGCAAATGCTGTGCCTAAATTATCATTTGAGATTAAAAAATTACATTTAAAATAGAAAATAGAATGTTAAAAGTTCTTTTTTTTTTTTTTGAATTAAACCTAATAATAATGGAATAATTAATTTTTTAAAATAAAATGGCTGTAACTATCTGAATTGAAAGTACACATACTATAATGTGTATTTAATAAATCATTTTTAAGTATTATTATAAATTAACTATAATATACTAATGGTCGAAGGGTCCCTTAAAGGTAACCCCTTTGTTAGCATGTCTGCTAATTTTGCTCTCAATAGGGATGAATGATGTGCAAATAAGCCTATTCTCTATCTTTTCTTTGATGAAATGTCAATCAATTTCAATATGTTTTGTTTTATCATATTCCAACACCATGGATCGAGGCTTGGTTCTGTACTTGATCTCTCCATGATTTTTTTTGCTTCGCCATATCACTAAATTACCTCCAATAAATATGCAATATCCAAAAGTAGTTCTCGTTATTTAATCGAGCGTACCGAGTCAATATCTTTGTAAGCATCCACATGCCGTTGGGGATTGACCTGTCGTCTTTGTAACTTATAGGAAAGATAGCACCTTGTATTTGTTGTCTAATCAGGGATGTTGACTTCCAAATTATAGTAGTGGGTGAGGAGAGCTTTGATAGAACTCAGGACATTGTTAAACAATTGCAGAAATTATATTGGGAAAATCACATTGTGAGATTCGACAAATTAAACCTATGTTCATTTTTTAGTGTGATGATCAGCAATTTTTTAGGTCTTAGCTTCATAGCTTGGCTTAGGTTTGTATTAGGCGTTCTTTATTTTGAATGATAACCATGAGGTGGTCCTAAATGTTCATTTCATTTCAAAGATTGCTTAAATGCATGTCTCATATAAATCTTGTTCCCGTGTATAAAAATACTCAATATTATCTGTCTTTGGGAAATTTATTTCTCAGCCATTACTGAAGTAGGGTTCTTAATAGTTTGCAACTTGTAGATGAGTTATTATCTTTTAGATCCTTCTATAGCTGTTTTTCTGATTGAAAGAAAAGATAATGAAGATTAATATTGTCTGCGTTTTATGACATAATGTCATGTGAATAATTTTCATGTTGTAGCATAGAGATATTATGTAAACCACCTATTGCGGAAGCTCTCTCAAAAGATCTTCAAACGGTAGTTTTCCAGGCTCAGTCCAACGTATCTTTCTCTACCAACAACCAATCCAAACGGCTCCAAATCACAACCAATTAATTCACCTTGGTTGCTATACAATCTTACCCACGTAGGACAAGAAAGGATGATGATTTACGGCTACAAAGGCTAGGAGAAGACACCACAAAGGTATACTATGAAAGAACCACCAATTGCACACGTTATACAAACGTTCTGGACACTTTTGGACACCTTTTTCTCACACAAAAGGGGGGCAGTCGGGATTCTCTTGTTTCTTATCTCAAAATCACACAATCATCATATCAAAGTGGTTAGGGTTATAGCCAAATATATACTATAGGGTTAGACTTTAAGTTGGGTCATTAAAGGGGTAAACGGGCCAAGATTCAAGCCATCCATAAGGAATACAATTGGGCCGGGTGTAGCTCATGGACTTGGTTGTTGGACTTATTTCATTCATCGGCCTATGCCTATGAAATAATATTAACCCACGTTAACATCATAGCCCGGGATTTATTGGGTATCAAAAACCCAACAAATCTCCACCTTAATGCCCAATAAATCTGCAACCAATCAAAACACACAGTTAATACTTGCATAATCAAGGTAGCCAATAAAATTGGATCACAGACCTTACCTCATTTTTTATTTTTATTAATTAATGGGAGGCAAGCTGTCGACGACCCTAAAAACAGCATCTCCTTCATTCAAATTTGCATGAAGTCATAAGTATTGAAGAGGATATTGAGATTTCTTGCAGGCTTGATTTTCTGATCAGGAATGCTGTTTTAATACTATAATGAGGGGCCAAAGGTCTTTTTGATGAAGCATTTGTATTGTTTTTTAAGAGAAAATTCTGTAAGCAAACTTATTAGACCTATTTTGGATTTTAGAAAGATTAGTATGATGAATATTATTAATAAGCGGCTTGACTAATTGACATTTTTTCATTAGAATATTTTACCTATCCCTAATATTGTAAATATCAATCCAAGAAGAGTGACATTTAAAACATTAAGGTCGAAAATAGATATAATGGGCTATTCTTTTTCGCTTTGGTAGCATTGAATATTATATAAATATGTAATAAAAACTAATTAGACAAGATATGATGAATGCCGATGTCAAAACAAACTAGTGAAGAAAATAAGAGATGGACGAAGTAAATAATAGATGAATAGAGATAAATGAAATTTGATTGCTAGGTCGACTACGTTAATTTATTCTTTAGTATTTTGTCACGTTCGTGGCAAAGATACAAATAAATTTTCTGATATTGCATCTATCTGCCAAAGATACAAATAAATTTTCTGATATTGCATCTATCTGCTAAAGGAAGTTCTAAGGGACAAAGGTGTGTAACAAGAATACAATTATACAAGCATAGCATATTCCGAAGAAAGTAGAGTGCGCCTATCTTTATCTTAAATCAACAAGTCTGTTAAAAATCATCAAGTCTTTCTCAGAAATTTCCCAAAAGTATTGCAACCTATCATCCTCTCTCTCTATATAGCCAATTCCTTTCACATAATATTAATTGTTGTATCACCACAATTTCAACCCATCAATATAAATACTTCAGTATTCTGTTAATTGCAACGAATTTGCATGGTGTGATACTTTTATTTAAACAATCAGTGAAATCGTGAATTGCTTCGCATCAATTCTTAGCAGCACACGTTTTCCTATGCAAAGTTCTCCAGTAGAAACTTTATCCATTCAACAAGTATTCTGTAGAGAGAGATTTTTGAGTTGGTCAAAAAGTGACTGAATGGTTCAAACGTCTCCTATAACCTAAAAGATTGAAGAATGTCTTCCATTTGTCACTGCAATTCGAAATTACTCGAAATATAGCAGCAATGTGTTTTCCCTGAAAAAAAGAATTATTATTGAGCTTTAATAAATTTAATTTTTTAGACGATATGCTTTGATTGTTATATATTGATTGGAGATATGGTCTTCCACCCCCTTTCGTTAGCATATGACCTGTATACATTCCTGTATATTAAAAGTTAGGGGTTCCTTCCTAGCTCCTTTTTATTTTCATTTCATTAGTAATGAGATGATAATTATATTAATGTCAAATCTCTCTATCTATGAAGTTTAAGATTTTTTTTCTTTTTGATTTAGTTGTCAAACTCAATTCAAGAATAACTAATCACATTTTTATAGTGTTAATTTAAAATGAATTAATAACTTATTAATGAATTAGTAATTCCTCTAAAAAGAATCTGTTGACACACTAAAAGTGCAGCCCAAATCGAATAGCCCAAGGAATTAAGCCCAATTAAGGAATTCCCAAATCAAATAGCCCAAAGAATGAAGCCCAATTGGGCAATTCAGGATAAAGGCCCAGACATAATTATTAATGAATGCAGTGGAAGCCCACGAACACAGTAACATCATCGTCCATGCTTGCAAGACGCCCAAAATCTGAGCGAATGGAGTGCTTTACAGTCGCCCAGAGCGATGACCCTATTCTCGCTCATACCTTCGAATTGCCCAGGATCTTAGCAAACATAAAATGTTATGATTATCCAGAAATGCAGTAATTGAAACAATTATTAAGTAACCTTATCACATTCCACGATTCAAGGAACCCAGTTGAAGGCGGTTGAACGACAAAGAGGAGTGGCAGCAGTTAGAGACGGCAGTTCCACGACAAGTTAGCCACCATAAAGAAAGTGGGTAGTTATAAAGCAATCAAGCAATTTCCAAGCGGTTTGTCACGAAGAAATCATCAAGGAAATATAAAAGGAAGAGAAGACATAGAGAGAAAGACCCCGAATCAAACACTCTCAAACAGAGAATATGTAATTTCAATTTTTTAGTTTAAACTTAAACATTTTTTTCAGTACTCGTGTGCTTGCGCCCCTTGGAGGCATTCTGTTTAGTTCCAATTGTAAATCATCGCCAATAAAACACCCCTTTTTGAGACTTTGTCTCAAGAGGTTTATTCCTTACACAATCGTCTGATCCCTTTTTAATTGTTAGCGACTACCCGCGCGAAACAATTTGGCACGCCCAGTGGGACATTGGTGTTTGGTGTTGAAGATACAAAAGGTGAAACAATATGCCTCACAAATCTGATAAGGAAGCAGCAAGTCAGGGAGGAGTCCAGTCTGTGATGGAGCGATATGAGGAGCAGCATAGCTCTCCACGAATAGAGGGATAGAGTCAGAGCAGTCACAGTCGTTACGAACCAATGACAGATTTGAATCCTCGAACCATGCGTGCATTACTTGGAGAACTCACACAGAATGTCGTTGAACAGGTAAATCTAGGAAATATTCATAATATAGAAAGATTTACCCAGAATGGGAATGCACATTATGACAATATGGCCAAACAACTGAATACTTTGAATGAAATAATGAATAAGTTGGTAGGCCAAATTTGCCAGCCAGTTGTGCCTCTTGCAAATCACTTTCAAACTAGGACAATTATGGGATATAATCCCACAGTCCTAAGTCCAAATCAATGGATAGAACCACCTTTTGGTCCCTCTACTTCAAACCAGGGGGATGGTGTAATGCCAAATCAGAATAGTGGTAATGGTACAGCTAACTTGGGGGGTAACCTAAATGTAAGAGACAATGTCCTAAATAATGGACAGAATACCCCACGTGTCAATGATGGAATAAATATTCAGGCTAATGGCAGCAATGACCCAAATAATGGCAACTTTGTTGCCAACGAAGTACCAAACATCAGGCCTCAGGCAAATCAACCGACCAACCAACCTGTAGGAATTTTATATGACCTCAACGTCATGTTGAGAAACCAAATTATGGAAATAGTACAGGATCAAATGGTTTTTGGGGTACGTCCTGTCATTAGGCCGACTTACACAAAGCCATACCCTGATTGGGTAAACCAAACATATCCATGGCCAAGAGGGTATAAAGTGCCAGAATTCTCATTATTTACCGATTTAGGAGAGATGTATACTCTAGAACACATAGGGCGATTCACACTGCAAAGTGGTGAAGTAACCGACTAACATAAAATGAGGTTGTTCCCTAGTTCATTAACAGGAGCAGTCTTCTCTTGGTTCATCAATTTGCCAGCGAACTCTGTTCAAACATGGCAACAATTGGAGCAATTATTCCATGCTCAGTTTTAT